AGGTATTTTATCGGGCCCCGCGGAGCTCCGGACGTTATAACTGCTCAGTAAAGCGGTTATAAAACATTTATTGGGCGCAGCAGAAAAACACAGTTTGGACTGTTTGAAGCTCTCAAACCTCCATTTTAACTTGTTTTCGGGCCTCTCAGCGGGGGGGCTTCAGGGAAGTTTTACCCCACAAACTTACGTCCCACCCGTGGCGCAATTAGTCCAATTAACCCCTGACCCGGTTCGACCGAACTCCGGTACTTTAAGCCCCATGTTTCCTCTGGATCCTCTTGAGAATCAGAGTTGGGATCTAAAGCTCATGCGAGTCAGGAAGTAAAATAAATAAAATATTGATAAGCTGAAGTTACAGGAAACTGATGAAAACTTTATTCAGCTGGATCATTTAGACACGATCACCCGCTGCCAAGAGGCGGGCGATCATGTTTTGTTCCTGTTTGTGTCTCCAGAACCACTGGAAGTTCTATGAAACTCACCTGGCGTCATCCTGACCCAAGATGGCTGCCACAGCCAACCTGACATGAAATAATCCAGTCAGATTCACAGACAAAGAGTGGTAGTAGCTGAGAGTCGCCTGTTAGCAAAATATCCTGAACCACTGGACAGAGATGAAACTCCCAGGAACCCGATTAAAGATGGCCGCTGCATAAATTCAGACGACTCTAACTAATTCTGCTGACAGGTGTGGAGCTAAACTTTAGCTGGTTGTGGCCGAGAGTCGGACTGAGCGCAGAGGGATATGTCTCAACTTTGTTTACAGAAAATGATTTTGAAGTCAGAAAGGCGGCGGGCGACAGGCATTCTCTTATTAATTCAAGCACCTGTTCAGGCAGCACAGTAAATTATTTAAGCTTGTTTTATTTCTTAAGATGAAGAACAAGAAAACACACCAACTTTTTATTATTCAGGTTTTTAATCAATACATTTCTCTAAAACTTAAATTTTCCACATTTTATTAGTAAAAGTAAAACTCTTTAAATTAGTTTTAGAGGTTCAGCTCAGAGACACTCAGTAAATAGAAGATTATTTATTATAAATATAAACTTTACAAACTCTTCATTTGGAAAAAGAAATAAAAGTTTACTGAATGAAAAACAAGTTCTACTGTTAAACACTTTGATTAGGACCATAAATCTTTTAAAAAGTTAAAAATATTCATCCTAAAACTCGTGTTTCTTCACACAAACAAAAGTTTTCTGGTGTTTATGTTTACACTTTGTTGTTGTTGTTTTTATTTGTGTTGGAGCAGAAAATAAACCCTGCTCCACAGAACTTAAACTTTCACGTTTACAAGAAAACCTTTTATTTTGGTAAAAGCAAACAAAAATTGTCGGAATAAGAGCAGGGTCCTTAAAGAAATGCCTATCGCCCTCTGCTGTGCGCTCCAGGTTTGAATTGGACCCGTTAGCCCTCAGAGGGAGCACTGAGGATGACTGTCAGCTACCAGCACACCTGGCTTGAGCTCCGTGTTAGCTGTGGCAGCCATCTTCAATCAAATTGACTCTTATAGAACGACCTTTGGAGAGTTTAATAAAAATCCATAGTTCATGTGATATTTTGCTAACTGACAAACAAAACAGACAATTACATGATTGCCCGCTTTCCTTAGCAGTGAGTTAGAAGTTTTTTTGCTTTAAAATGTAAATGTTACGTCTGAACAAAGTTTTAGTTTGTTGAAACTTCCTTTTTTATTATTTTCAAACGAACGCATTCCACCAGATTAAAAAAACAAACTGTTTCTAAATAACTAAAAGTCTCTTAGAATGAAACTTATCTGAAGTATAAAAATCTATAAAAGTTGATAATAAACGTCTTAAAATCTAAAATAAATCGTTTAGATTCTTAAAGTAATTTTTTTTAACTTTGACATTCTTGTAAAAAAAGTTTTTTTTTTTTTTTTTTAAATGCGTCAAATAAAAGTTACCTGCAAGAATTATCCAAAAACTCAAATAAAAGTTCAGGATTCAAGAAGATTTATTCACAATTAAGAACAAAATAACATTTCAGGCCTCAGGGAGACAGCATCACAAGTAAATAACTTTAAAATGATCAAATAAATAAACAGTCAAACTAGCGGCACAACAATTAAATACTTTGTACATTTTCTACTTTTCTGTTACCGAGTTGTTCTCATTTTAAGGCTTTAACTTTTGTAAACACTTGGGACAAAAACTCAGATGATCTTGTTGAACTTCTTGTTGCAAAGGTCATTTTATTTTTCTGAAACGTTCTTTATTCTGTATTTTTTTTTAACTATTCTTCCCAACAAACAGTTTTGTTAGGATCCCACAACATTAAAACTTAATGTTTAGATTTGTTGCAGTTAGTTGTCACATGTATTTTTATTTTTACATTTGTTTCCTGTTTTAATTTTTGATTGATATAAAGTTTCAGTTTGAGTCTAAAATATCTTGTGCTCTGTAAAAAAAAAAAAAAGCAGTTTTCTGCTGTTTTTGTTTTGAAATTAATCGGTTTCTTCTGTGATTAAAAGTTGTTTTATTGGTGAATCTGTTTGAGGACACTTCTCAGATTCACGTTTTTTTTGTTGAGAATTTGTGTCGGTTCTTTTACATGTTCTTGAGGCTTCAGATAATTCAAAGCCTTGTTTTAGTTTTTTTATAACACGTTTGTCGCTGAGGCTTCAGATAATTGTGAACCTTGTTTTATTTTATTTTTTTACGTTTGTATTTGAGACTTCAGATTATTCAGAACCTCATTTTTCTTTTTCTACAAGTTTGTCGTTGAGACTTCAGATAATTCAGAACCTCGTTTTTTTTTTTTTTTTTTCCAGTTTGTCGTTGAGACTTCAGATTATTCAGAACCTCGTTTCTCTTGTATTTACCAGTTTGTCATTGAGACTTCAGATTACTCAGAACCTCGTTTCTCTTTTATTTACAAGTTTGTTTTTGAGACTTCAGATTACTCAGAACCTCGTTTTTTTTTTTTTTTTTACCAGTTTGTCATTGACAATTCAGATTATTCAGAACC